TATCAAGTACAATTAGTTTTAATTTTAGTTTCAAATCTAGTTGATTCAGTGCAAGAGCGATCCTGAATTTTCAAATTTCAAAATCCAGTTCCCGAGTTGGGTTATAAAATTTTTGAAATTCGGCCAGCCAATAAACTTGGTTTGGCCGTCCATATTTTGGATTCTAACCCATCCAACAATGATGAATATTGTCTTGTTGGTATAAATGCAAAGTTAAACTCCAATAGTTTAGACAATTATATTGAAAGGGAAACTGTCTAAAATTCACCATGACCTTTAAGCATTTCTCTTAAACTCACCATAACTTTTCATAACATCCAGGGAATCCAAGTAATTTGATGTTAAACAGACTAACAAGTGGTTAATAGATTACCACTTTACCCTTAGTTATATTCTAACTTAACCCTTTGTCTCAATCTCTATGCCTTTGCCCTTTTCTATCTCCATTTCTCTACCTCAATCTTTTCATCTTTGGTTCTTCTTCGATAAGCACAAGTGTCGTTCCCAGCCATGTATTCATATTTGTAGCGGCCACCACTGTCAATTTTTGCTAATGAGTTGTAGATGAAGTTTGTTGTCGTCATCGTCGAAGTTGCTTTCTCAATCAATAGAAACACTGCCATGAATATGAGCAAAGGGAAGCATCACCAGAGTTGCAGATGAAGTTTGCTACCGTCGTCACTGAAGTCGCTTTCTCAATCGATGGAAACACCGCCTTGAATTTTTTGCAAAGGGAAACATTGCCGGAGTTGTAGATCAAGTTTGCTGCACCATCAACTTCGGTGACTCGTGGGTGGTAAGTGGTAGGGTTGCTTAACTCGGTTACAATAGAAGTAGAAATTTGAAAACTGAAATCCTGACGTGCACAACACAACAAACTACATACCAATTGTTCAAACTTCAAAGTTCAAACATCATTGACCGTATCAGTTAAAAAAAAATCTTTGTAGAAAAGTTTATACAAAAAGCATATGGTCTATGGTCATTACTCATTACATATCTTCTTTCCTAAATTATTTGTTAATTACTCTTCACCTCTTCTTCTTGTTGTTACCCTAATTCCTAATCCTAGTCCTTCCTTATGTATGTAGTAGAGATTGAGAAGTAAGAGCTACACTTGATGGACTACCATTCTATTCCATTAGATTCAATTAAAACACAAAATCCAGTAAGGCACAAAAAGAAGATGACTGAGTGGTTGCAATCACCATGGACTTTGATCGGTGGTCGGTTAAGTCTCTGAAGGTCCGAAGTGGACGGTAGGGAAGAGAGAAGATGAGGGGAATAATGGTTGTAGAGGACGGTGGAAGAAGAGAAAAGAAGGGAGTGTGAGAGAGGGAGAGACAAAGTTAGAGAGATCCCCTTTGAGAAACCCTAAGGTCAAGGTTATATGGTCATACTTGACATGGGAGAGAGTTGCACTCCTTTTATAAGTGGGATCCTAAGGCTATTAGGAGAAGATCCCAAAAGAGACATTTCCCTATTAGGAAATGAAATCTTTATCATCATGTCAACTATCAAGCAAACTCCATTAAGGTTTCGCCATGTGTCTAACGAGACTTTCTAGGGATAGAGTTTCCTTTCCCTAAGGATTCTCACATAGCATGTGTCAGTTACACCCCTTCATGGGTTCTCTCGCAGCCACGTGTCGGGACTTTCGATCGGCTAATGTGTTTGAATGTCTCTGTAAGACATCTTTGAAGTATCTAGTCACGGCTTGCCACGATTGTGCAGAATGCAAGTTGCCTGTGAACATATATTGTTGGCTTTGGTTTTGTTAATCATTCGCCATAGTGTGAGCTGATATTCTATTCTCATTGTAGGATGTTGGTAATGTATAGAGTTGTGATATCATTCTGTACCCATCGCTGGTCTCTGGGTCTATCCACCATTCGTTACAACATGGTCTGCCATGTCATGTCCATCACAAGGCACTAGTAGTGTATTGGGTTTGTCTCAGATTGGCGATGTCATTTTAGGTCCATTGCAAGTCTTAGGTGACACTCATTGTTCATGGTAGGTCCCAGGATGCATTTTGTGCCCATCACAAGTCCTACATGGCTCTTTGTGCTCATCGCAAGTGTGTAAGCCTTACATCATTTTGATAAAGTGTCTTTGTGCCATTACAGAGGTGTCTCGATTGGGATTTCTCCATATGGTTTTCTTTTAACATCTCCATCGTAGTCCCAATGATGATTAACTACATGTACTTACACTGGTTTTATCTTTCAGGTGACCAGATATGGCAAGAATAGTCATCTTCCAGGTGACCCTAGCCACGCTTTTATGTCTCAGATGCACTCCATCCACTTCTAGCATGCATAGAGCACCAAATAAGATGGAGCAATAATCAAAATCCAAGCAAAGAGAAGGCCAATGTACAAATGATAATGTTGTCCCTCAAACAAATTTTAAAATCTCAATAAAAGGAAAGCCAATAGCTTCGAGATCAATTATCAAGTACAACAACAAAATTATTATGGATAAATTCCTCTAGTGTTTGGGAGAATGTAGCAGAGTTTCAACGGTTGGTCCTACAACAGCCTCTTTGTCTCCGTCCTTCAAATCATTTTCATCTTACGCAAAGTTCTTGAACTCGGAGAAGTGTGGTGACCGCGTTGTATGAAACCGTGGGTTAACGGATGTGTGAACCCGCCAATCAGAAATGGCCACGTTGTCCGGGCGAGTAAAAGGTAACGTTAATGGAACTTTGGCCGTCAACACAAAAAAAAAAACAAAGAAACCAGAGTTCCCTCCCTCCATTTTTTTTCATTCTCCTCCACCGAACTTAGCACAGCAGCATCCACCGACGACCTCACTCCACACTAGCATATGTAAATGTAGAAGCCATCGAGCCTGAGAATGGACGTTGGATGATATGCCTCTCGCCGCCAGTGGCTTCCGCGTTCACGAATGCTGGTATGGAGTGAGGGCGTCCGTGAATGCTGTCGTGCTAGGATCAACGAAGGAGAGTGAAAAAACTGAAGGGAGGGAGTTCAAAATGAGGACAGGTGAACTCTAGTTTTTGTCTTTTTGTGTTGACGACCGAAGTCTCGTTTACATTACCCTGACGACGTGGCCGTTTCTGGTTGGCGAGTTGAACCCATGGGTTCACAGAATGCGGACTCGTAGAGTTGGCACCGGTACCGATGTTGTATCTTCAATTTCTTAGGGATAAAAAACTTCCTCGTCTTCAAGGTGTTACAATGGTGGATTTTGGCCTTATAATGGTGTTATTTTTTTTTTGCATTTTTGCAACTTTTTACATTTTGCATTTTCTATAATTTTTTACAATGTTCTATTAGCTTCTGCATTTAAGCATCTTCTCCAAAATTTTCCATTTTCTTATTTTTGATTGAAATATATATTTTTTGAAATTTTTTTATCATTTGACGTGTTTTATGAATTTTTTTGTCATTGAATGTATTTTCTATGATTTTAACTTTTTTGGTTATACATATTATATTTTAATCATTCTGTATTGTTTTGGCATTAGCTGAAATATATAGTTTTTATTTTTATCATTTTTATGTATTTTATGCAATTTTCCTATATTTTGTGCAACTTTTTTTATGTTTTTTTACAATTTCTCTTTTATAATTTTATTTTATTTTTTATTATTTCCTAAGTTTTTTTTGTAATTTTTAATGTTTTACACTAAATGTACAAGGTAGTTGGGCACTTAAGAGCATTTTCATAAAAATATGTTTAATAAGGTTAACTAGTCATTCAGGGCAGTTTGGTCATGAAAATTGCATTTATGTTGGCGTGTACAACTTTTGTCGGTGAACACCAAAGCTATGTTTGGTTTGAAGGAAAAAGTAGGGAAAGGAAGGGAAAGGCAAGGAAACCTTTACAAACTTTGTATAGGTTTTCATACTTTTCCCTTCCTTTCCCTACATTTTCCTTCAAACCAAACATAGCCTAAAGTGCTTCAAGGGATGGTGAGTTTTGGAAAACAAAAGCTCAATGACATGGGGTTTTGATCTTATGAAAAGTTATGATGAATTCAAGAGAAATGTTGAAAAGTCATGGTGCCATTCAAAGGCAGTTTGGTCATGAAAATTGCATTTATGTTGATGTGGACAAATTCGATCAATGAATACTAACGATGGTAAATTTTAAAAAACAAAAGCTCAATAACATTGGGATTCCCTTAATACTATGAAAAGTTATGATGAGTTCAAGAGAAATGCTGAAAAGTCATATTCAATTTTAGACAATTTCATCCATGAGATTTGAGTTAGATAGACTAAGAGTTATAAGATGTGGAGATGAAAATGGTTTAAGTGGCATCAATGAAAACAAACACCAAAAGAGGAATTGGGATTTATTCCTCACAGCCACATCCCACCTTGTATGGAAACATCTTCATAAATAATAAGTACAGATATGGGAAATATTACTAGTGTGTGACTAGGATATACTGTGAGATCGGTGTGAGGAGCAGATCCGGACTCCCAAAAGAGAGAGACAAAAACATCTATCTACGTATTCTTTTCGTTTTTTATTCAGGATTGATTTGATCAAAAAATAAGATTTCCCCCAGTCCATCCAACATTATCATATGCTGTAAACGTCACCGAATTTCAATGGAAGAAACTTCATACTTTCTTGCTTTATGCCCAAAGTAAATTGAGAGAATTTGGGTATCCTTTTCGTAATTTCATCTTTCTTATGGTGGAGCCCAGATCTAGATGGGAGAATGGTGATTTTAAACGTTTATGTAACGGCTGTATTTGAATAAAAAGCCATTTTTATATAAAGCACGTGCTTACCTGCGAGTGACATTCATCTTGGATCTCGTTAGGATGGGGAATCTCGCTAGATTCCAATCCCAAGGTAAGTAACTCGTGCTTATGAGAGCACATGCTTTTCTGACTTCCAATTAAGAAAGCGAAATATTTTTCTGTGTAACGTGCAGAAGGATTGAAATTTATAGCCGTTGGTAATGCAACGGCTATTTTCTTTTGATTGAAGTGGGATATAGCGTCTTGGGTTTCTCTGTTGTCCTCAAATCGAAAGATACCTCATACAACCACAATCTACTCTCGCAGCTGAAGCAAACTCTCTTCCAAAGTTTTGTTGATTCCAAGTTTCAACTGAGATAGATAGAAAATAGAGCAAGATGAACGATTTGATGACCAAATCCTTTCTCAGCTATGTGGATCTGAAGAAAGAAGCCATGAAAGATCTGGAAGCCGGCAACCTCGACATGGAGATGGCAGCGACGGCGACCCAAAATCAAATAGACCATAACCTCGCCCAGTTCTTGGAAGAGGCCGAGATGGTGAAAAAGGAAATCGGTTTCATCAGAGACGTCCTTGGTCGGCTGCAGCAAGCCAACGAAGAGAGCAAGTGCCTCCACAAGCCGGAGGCCCTTAAAGCCCTACGCATCCGGACCAACGCCGATATCGTGACCGTGCTTAAGAAGGCGAGGAGCATAAAGTCTCAGCTCGAGGACATGGACCGCGCCAACGCTGCCAATAGGAGGCTCTCTGGCTACAGAGAAGGGACGCCGGTGGACCGCACAAGGACTTCGGTCACCAACGGGCTGCGGAAGAAGCTGAAGGAGCTGATGATGGACTTCCAGGAGCTGAGGCAGCGGATGATGGCGGAGTATAAGGAGACGGTGGGCCGCCGGTATTTCACGGTAACAGGAGAGTACCCGGAGGAAGAGGTGATAGAGAAGATTATATCAAGTGACGGAGGAACGGGAGGGGAGGAGCTGCTGCAGAGGGCGGTGCAGGAGCACGGGAGGGGGAAGGTTCTTGAGACGGTCTTGGAGATACAAGACAGGCACGACGCGGCGCAGGAGATTGAGAAGAGCCTGCTTGAGCTGCACCAGGTGTTCCTGGACATGGCGGTGATGGTGGAAGCTCAGGGGGAGCAGATGGACGACATCCAACACCATGTCATGAATGCTGCTGAGTATGTGAAGGGCGGGACGCGCGACCTCAGGACTGCCAAGAACTATCAGAAGAGCAGCAGGAAGTGGATGTGTGTGGGGTTGATTCTGCTCCTGATTCTCATCCTATTGGTCGTCATCCCCATCGCCACCAGTTTCAGTCATTCCTAAAAGGCTAAAAAATAATCTTTATTTTTAAGGCTGTTCTTTCTATTGATTTGTTTGTTTTTCTTTTTGGGGTGGGGGAGGGGGAGGCGTTTCTCCTGTTCCTTCATTCATTCTGACCTGTGTATGAGCGTCAACTGTCCTTCTCTATCTTTTGTTTGTGAAGTGAATTACCAAATTCGCTTTAAGTTCTGTCTCTTCCAGTTCAACCAAGGAAAATTGAAAGTTTATCAACCTAGAACACCTACAAGAACAAACGAAGTCTTGCGGCTATAATCAGCTGAACCCAATTCGGCTAATAAGAAAAAGAAACCAAAGAAGCATGTTCAGTGATCAATGATTCAATGTGAACCTGATTTCTGGAATGCAAACCGTGAGAATTTGAAATTCGGGTACCTGTGATTTTTGGAGTGCAAACCTGACAATTTGAAATTGGGGTACCGACATCTCTGTAAGAGGTCAAATCTGGCCAGAGTGTATTTATCCAGTCCGATATCCCCATTTGCTATTTGAGTACGCATGCCTTCACGATCAATTTGATCAATTTGAACTAAACTAACCCCTTAAAACCACGTTGGACATTTTTAGCTCTGTTTGCTTGAATCAGATGCAAATTCAGTTTTGCATCTGTTTATTTGAAATGTGATTTGCATTCTTATCCAATCAAAACCTTGCACTTTGTGTCTCAGTTTTGCTTCCATTTGAAGATGCAAATTTGAATCGTGAGAATTTGAAATTCTGGTACCTGTGATTTTTGGATTGCAAACCTGACAATTTGAAATTGGGGTACCGACATCTCTGTAAGAGGTGGTCAATCTGGCCAGAGTGTATTTATCCAGTCCGATATCCCCATTTGCTATTTGAGTACGCACCTCGCCTTCACGATCAATTTGATCAATTTGAACTACTAAACTAACCCCTTAAAACCACGTTGGACATGTGATTTGCATGTTTGCTTGCTTGCTTGAATCAGATGCAAATTCAGTTTTGCATCTGTTTATTTGAAATGTGATTTGCATTCTTATCAAATCAAAACTTGCACTTTGTGTCACAGTTTTGCTTCCATTTGAAGATGCAAATTTGAATCGTGAGAATTTGAGATTCGGGTATATGTGATTTTTGAAATGTGATTTGCATTCTGTTTGCTTGAATCAGATGCAAATTCAGTTTTGCATCTGTTTATTTGAAATGTGATTTGCATTCTTATCCAATCAAAACTTACACTTTGTGTCTCAGTTTTGCTTCCATTTGAAGATGCAAATTTGAATCGTGAGAATTTGAAATTCGGGTATATGTGATTTTTGGAGTGCAAACCTGACAATTTGAAATTGGGGTACCGACATCTCTGTAAGAGGTCAAATCTGGCCAGAGTGTATTTATCCAGTCCG